GTAAATAAATACTTGTACAGTATAAAATTATATTATATTGGCTTAATTTTTATACTAAATAAAGTGTGTTACGTTATTTTAGACCTGCATTATATTTATTTAAATCCCATATCATCAATTAAACTTTTAATAAAGTTTTCCTAATTATAATTAACATTAATTTTAAACTAAAGCTTTTTTTTTCATCTTGAATGAGGTTTACGAAATAACTTATGAGAAAAAATAAAAGAGGCTCAGTCTATTGCTTCTGAATAATTGATAATAAAACCACATGTTGACTTACTTTTTATACTAAATAAATGTGGGTATGAAGTTATTTTAAAGCTGCATTATATTTATTTTAAACCCATCACCAATTATTACCTTAAATAATTTTTTCTTAATTATAATTAACATTAATTTTAAGCTAAAACGATCAGAATAATGTTTTCGTCGTCTTGAATGACATTTGCGAAATAACTTATGAGAGCAATAAAAAAGAGCCTAGTCTATTGCTGCTGAATAAAAAATCTGTAATTTATTTCATGTGACATAAAAATAAATTTGTATTTTTTTGAAACCCGCGGCTTCACGTATATGATTCACGTCAAATATTTATGTCTTTTGAGAATCAGCTGTTCTAAAAATGTTCGGCGCATGTCTTAAATTTTAGGTTTTTGCTACAGCAGCGCCATCCTAATTCTTCCCTTTTTTTGACCATTTTTTAATGCACGGAGTTGTTTCTCCTTACCTCTACACTCCATACCGTCAACCTATCCGATATTTAGTTTAGCTCTGCGCCGCGCCGCTGCGCCCTGGTAGTCGTTTACAGCGCAAAGGATAAAAAAATGTACCGTAGTTCTGCTTTCAGTCGAGAAAGTGAGTGGTTGCCAGAGACAGTGTTGCCGGAACTACTGATTAATCCGTAGATTTACGGATTTTGGGTACTGTACGTTAATAATACAGGTTTTCTATCATTAAACAATTTAATATAATATTAAATGATTAAACAAAAAACGGCGTCAGAGTTGGCTTGGAAATGATGATCGCTGCTATTTCATATGTAAAACATTATGATAAATGTCAATAATCGTCATTTCCAAGCCAACTAAACGACTTTTGTCAATCATACGATATATTCAGTACCTATAAAAGAATTTTTATTTTTGTGGTTTATTCTATGTTTAACACGAATAAATTTTCAATGTGTTCCACACCGTCATCGATATGCTTTCGCTGGCTAAATTAGAGAAAATAAGTGTTTTATGCGTTGGCCGCAGAACGATTGGTGTCTCCACCGTACAGCACTTAAGTCGTAAGGAGAAATCAAATCAGTCTTGTCACGAATTCGCCCATTAGGTTGCGTATCTTCCCATTCTTTCAATCAACTTGTAGAACACAATGTAAGTGGCATTACAAACTGATATATTATTTAAAATGGCATGGTTAATTAAATGCATCCAAGGCAACAAAAAAGACCATAAACTAACAAGGCAAGGATCATCAAAATCATATCTTGTTCCAAAGCCATACTTGGAATACCCAAATGTATGACTCCAGTAAAAATCTGGATCACAGAAAAGTAGACCATCCACTTGAGAAACACACAGAGGTACTGGCACAGCAATGCCTTCATCCAAGTACCTAATTAAAAAAAACACAAAGAAACTGCTAATACTCAGAATTAAGCAGCAGCATTAAAATGCAAATGCAAACCAAACCAAACAGTTCTCTTGATACACGGACACACGGCTGTCAAGTGCTACCTGAATAAGCACAAACTGTATTAAGGAAGATTTTGCTGCAGATTCTGCGATCAAAATCATGAAACAGCAGAAACCTAAGGAACTATGCTCCTATGCTATCAAGGACCTGCACAAGTTGATGTAGGGCTCAGGAATAGGAGACTGGCTGCTAACATAGAAAGTGGACAAAGACAATCGGCCTTACCGGTATAATATTACGTATCTACGTAAAATTTCTTTGATTTTTCAAATACATACTTCATAAACAAATTCCATTAAAATATATCATATACAAACAAATGTTACATTAGCACATAATGATCATATTATGTCGAAACTACTATTCCAATCAAAATTAACAATTATGTGAATTAATAAATTGACAATTTTTGGACGAATCCTGTAAAAAAGTCAAAATATAAAAGACATTTTATATTGTACCAAAAAAACAGAATTTCTCATGCATAATAAGGTAAACAAATTTATTTAAACAATATGTTGTTGGGAAAAAAACATTTTTGTGGTTTGTACAGGAAGTGGATGCTTGTGATTGTATACGTCAGTAGCTAACGGTTACAGAAACCCACAAATAATAAAACAGAGACAAATAATATACAGCTAATATAAATTGTGTTTTATTAATAAACTTAATAACCGGTATTTATTAAATTAATATCTATTGATATAATTCGTTTTCTATGAATCTAATTTAGTAAAATTAGTATTGAGTCTTAAATACGTACAAATATTTTCACACACAGGACTGGTATATCTCGATAAAAGGGCCTGGAACACCCTCAAAAGAAAAATTCCACTCCTCCAACTCCCACCAGCAGGTAAAAGACCATACCATAACGTGGTACACTGATGCTTCCATAAACAAAGCAAGGACAGGGAATGGGAATATTTGGGCCAAAAATTAAATTCTCCGAACCATGAGGCAGAAATGTACACTGTCGAAAGATGCGTCCATTATCTTAGATAGCAACTATCGGAAACAGGAAATACCCATTTTTCTTATCCGATAGTCAAAGAACACTAAAAGCGATCAACTCAGTAACCATAAATTCGAAGTTGGTCAAACAATGCCTAGAGAAGCTGAACAAATTAGGCAAAGAAAATAAAGTCCTTCTACTCTGGGGGATCTCACGAGGGACAGAAGGCAATGAAAAGGCGAACGATATAGCTAGAAAAAGAGCAACACTCCACCAACTTGATCAGAATCGTTCTGTTCCCAAAGAAACCAACTTAAAGCGAAACTCAAAAACCTGAAGACTCCATCTGTAACTTGGAATGGGAATCCTCCAACGGTCTAAGACACTCGAAGAAATTTCTTAGAACATAGGACCGAGAAAAATCAATGGTTTTCGTTGATTTAAGAAAGAACAATCTTCGGAATGTTACGGGGTTTTTAACAGGAGTCTCCTCAATGAACACTACAGTAAATTGAAGCTAAGAAACAACGACGAATGCAGATTCTGTGGGAAAATGGGGATACACCAGAATACCTCATCACTGTGTGCCTCGAGATGATAACCATTCGTTCCATAAACTTTGGGACTGTATGATCAGTTATAACTCAAGAAAGTATACATTCTACATTTTCTAATGTCATTATAATTGAAAAGCTTTATTATTGTTTATTGTCAGTTACTCTTTAGCAGAGATAGTTTAAAGTCCAGAAGTTGATCTCAACCATGTTTAATTAAAGCAACAATAGCTGATGTAACTTAAAACAATCTCTGCTAGAATTGTCAACAAACAATAATAATTATGACTTTTCAACAATAAAACTACATTACAGAAACAATACATACTGTTTTATAAGTGTGTCGATTAGGACTAAAAAATCATGGTAGACTTTTATTGCAAGAATTGATGTAGTAAAATCACTACAAGATAAATGTTCGCCCTGTATATCCAAAATAAAAATAAATTTAATCAACTAACAGAGACTAGATTGAACCCGGACGTTAAAGATCTATAAAGTAATAATAAACAATCCTACTATTTTCCAAACGTTCTTATCTAATGCCAAATTATCCAAGTAACAAATTTATAAATATAGTTTAATTAAAAAGAACAAAACAATAAACTATAAATGATATGTATATGTATGTAAAGACAATATTATAACACTGTATACCGTCAACGACAAGACAAAACACAAAACAAAAAAATAATAGAAACAGTTTTTAGAAAGTCAGGCAAGAAAACAAATAGGAACCTAAATAAAAAAATTTATGAAAATATTGTTGAAACTTTCTTAAAAGTCGATATAGAAATATAGATATAGAAACGCCAGAGACACTGTATATAAAGATTTATCGGATATGCAATTGATCGTTATTGTTATTTTCAAGCCAACTTAATCCTTATTGTTTGAATCATATGGTATTAATTCTAGTAGATCGTTATAATTAATAGAAAAAACTGGATATAAACCAGGAATAGGAACCTAAATATTTTTTATAATTAAAAATTTTTAGCATCAATTTTTCTAGAAGAATAAAAACCCTCTACAGTATGTCCCCAGAAAAACTTTTTTATTATTGATGCTTTGAAAAAAATGCATTCTTCGTAAAAATTTTCGCTGATTCTAAAATGGCAGATCCCGTTTATACTTTTCCAAATTTCCATACCGTTTTAGAAAAAATTAAAAAAATTATGAAAATATTGTTGAATCTTTCTTAAAAGTCGATATAAAAATATAGATATAGAAACGCCAGACATACTGTATATAAAGATTTATCGGATATGTCATTGGTCGTTATTGTTATTTTCAAGCCAACTTAATCATTATTGTTTGAATCATATGGTATTAATTGTAGTAGATCGTTATAATTAATATAAAAACTGGATATAAACAAGACCATTTTCCCTTTAACTTTTAAGACACGATATTGTTGCGGGCCGGTGTGGACTCGACCTAACCTCACAATATGGCCCGCCCTCGGATGACCTTAACATCGCATAGACACCGCAATGATTCATTCGTTCGAGAAGAATCGAGTCCCACTGGAATGGACGAGTACATACGAGAACATTCGAAAACCTTCTCTACGCACCTAACGATCTATACGGTATTACAAAATTTTTGGAATAAAAAGGACATGGACACGTCAAGCAAACCCGCGTTTTTCTAGACTGTCAAATGTTTCAAATAGACGGCGCGCAAACTTTTTTCGACAATATACAACATACACACGTTACAATAATAAAACCCCGCACAACAATATACATAAACACACATACAATAAATTTTTATCGACTTACCGTAGTGACGCTGCTGATAATCGGACTTGGTCGTAGTCATCTTATCGAAAACTATAGAAAGAGCTTCTTATCGGCTTTGGCGCTATCGAAAACTGAAAGCTCGCGATACGCGACGGAAATCAGACAGTCGAGCGGGCAGCGGTGGTACGCGCGCTGGTCGTACCGCGGGCTCTGGCGCTCGCGTCCGTCCAAGTACCACGGGCGGGGGGAGGGGGGTTGGGGGCGGTGTAAGGGGCGGGGGATCGAACAGCGGCGCTGGGAAGCCGCGATGGACACCGGACTGACCACTGAACGATGTCCGTTGCGACTGCGGTATAAGATTTTTAAATGTGGTACTGTGGGTACTTATCGTTGAATGGTTCTCTGAGTCTCTGTTTGAATATATAATATCTAATTAGGCTGCTTGTTTATTTGTTTTCGAAGGAAATAAGAGGTGGAATCGAGGGAATGTACACCCCAGTATATGCCAATGCCTATATTTATAATGTTTTGTCGGTGCCTGCATGAAGTATAGTAAACTATAACATTTTTATCACAGTCTGTTTACAAATAATCAGATTTTTTTAGTAATGCCTCCTGAGACGTGCCGTGTAGGGTTTCCAATATTTAACTATCAAAATGAAAAATTTAAGCTAAAGATATTTATACAGGATGGCGCATCTCATTCGCCTCGGTTGATTATACGAAAACGGAAAGATGTAGAACCAAAATATTTTGTGGGTATATGTGGGGAGGCAATGTGCACAATTTGAAATTATTTTGAAATATACAGGGTGTTTCAAAACTAAGATCCATACCAAAGTAATATTTTTTCTTATGGAACACCCGGTATTTTATTTCATTTTTCGATTCTTGCGCCCAAAGAAAGGCATTTATTATGAGGGTTAAATATGTTTAAAATCTTTGGTTCTTGAGATATTTAAAGATATTTAAATATGCATGCAACAATAGAATAGATTATTAACACCCTGTACATTACATTTCAGAATTAATTCGTGTGCTAAGTTTAAAGGTAGAGAAATAAACTTTACTAAAAAATGTTATTGCTTCCTTAAATTTATACAGAAGTATCAAAAATTGCTGATCTATTTTAAGAATTTATTTTACATAAAAACTTTGTTATTTCAAATACAACACCCTGTATTTTTTTAAATAAATCGAAGCAGATTCAAATACTCAAATCAAACTATATTAGATTTTCCTATACCTATCTAGCTCAGATTTTGGATAAAAAGCGATTTTTAAATAAAATTGCAATCAAGGTGGCTGGTGTCGCCATGGCAATTTTCTAGTGAGAGTTAGTAAATATTTTTAAAGTCGACATTAGTTTATGGACATTATTATTTATAATTTATAACAGTTTACTTCAATTTACCTATAATAGTTTAATATAGGTAAGTATTCACTATTTTATCAAGAAAAATAAAGCAGCATCTGCTGGTGGAACGAATGGATATGTTACTAGTGATTTTATTTTTTGAGGAAAATTGCTTCTTGCCCTCAAGGGCTTATGCTCAAAGATATCCAAATAGGAGCCTTCCTGATAAGCTCTCTTTTGAAAAAGTACTTGTCCTATATCGCAGAGTGTGGTTTATAAAAAACTTATTAGGCAGAAGTGAAAAAAAATAAATTTGCCGTAATTGGCTCTTTTATAAAAAATCCATATATGTATCTACAAGTCATTGTAAAATAAATCAAAGACTACTTCTTCGTTTTTCTTGGTAGAATAACAAATACATATTTCATAAATATTATTTATTAAACTATTGTACGTAAAGTAAATACAAGTAAACTGCTATAAATTTAAATAATAAAGTCCATAAACTAATGTCGACTTTAAAAGTATAGTTACTGTCACTAGAAAATTGCCATGGCGACACCAGCCACCTTGATTGCAATTTTATTTAAAAATCGCTTTTTATCCAAAATCTGAGCTAGATGGGTATAGGAAACCCTAATATAGTTTGAAAGAGCATTTGAATCTGCTTCGATTTATTTAAAAAAATACAGGGTGTTGTATTTGAAATAACGAAGTTTTTATGTAAAATAAATCCTTTAAATAGATCAGCAATTTTTGATGCCCCTGTATAAATTTAAGGAAGCAATAACATTTTTCAGTAAAGCTTATTTCTATACCTTTAAACTTAACACAAGAATTAATTCTGAAATGTACTGTACAGGGTGTTAATAATCTATTCTATTGTAGCACGCAAATTTAAATATCTTTAAATATCTCAAAAACAAAAGATTTTAAACATATTTAACCCTTATAATAAATGCCTTTTTTGGACCCAAGAATCAAAAAATGAAATAAAATATCGGGTGTTCCATAAGAAAAAATATAACTTTGGTATGGTATGGATCTTAGTTCTGAAACACCCTGTATATTTCAAAATAATTTTAGATTGTGCACATTGCCTCCCCACATATACCCACAAAATATTTTGTTTCTAGATCTTTCCATTTCCGTACAATCAACTGAGGCGAATGAGGTGCGCCATCCTGTATACGTAGAATGAATTTTAAATAAGTTTATATAAAATAATATTTTTACGAGTAATAGGTATCTATATTTCAAGCCCAGAAACACGTCTATTTTTTTGCGACTTTTTTTTTAAATTTGAAATCTTTTGAAAAATGTATAGAATTTTTTATTAAAAAACATATGGCAACATAGATAGTAGATTAAATTTACAAGAAAGAAAACTCAGAAAAGATCCATTGGTTTTCAAATTTAAGCAAAAAATCATTTTTTTTAATTCTCAAAGATTTTTTCGCTTATTTTGGACTTATTTTAAAAACCCCAGCCCTGAAAATATTTGCACTTAGTTAAGACTCACCCTGTATAATAACCAAGTATAAACACTTGCAGCTACATTATATCAAAAAGAAAATGTGAAAGGAGCTTTATTAAAATAGACAAAACAAAGTAACATTCATATTTAGTGATTAAAAAAAATCAATTCTTGTTTTAAAAAAAAAAATAAAGCAAACACGGAAATATATAACTTATATTGTCGCTTTGCTTAGTATAAACAAAATATGATATTTGAAAGACTAAAGTGTATAAAATCGAATCATTTTAGATTGGACATTTAAACTTTTTGAGATCCCAGGATTTACTATTAGGATTTATTATACAGTATGTCCCCAGATTGTCTTTACAAGAGGAAAAACTTTTTTATTGTTGACATTTTCAGAAAAATGCATTCTTCATAAAAAAATTTGCTTGTTCTAAAATGCATTATGCCCTTTATACTTTTCCAAATTTCCATAAAAATATGGTTGAATTTTTTTAAGTCCTAAAAATCTAAACGCGTTTCTATGGTAATATAATTTCCATTGGCGTAACCGGCGTAACTACAGGGGTGCCCGGGGGTGTGCCGGCCCCCCCCCCCCAGGTACTGCTGTGCACCCCCCAGAGAAATTCTGAATTATGACTCTTGGCTACGTATTTTTATACTGCATGTGAATTTTTATTTGCTTGTGATGCAGTAAAAATTACGTTTTCTAATTTTGTTTAGTTAATATTATTTTGCTGTGTTCAAAAAATGTGTTGATTTTTATTTTTTAGAAAATTTGTAGGTATTTAAGTAATCTACGCGAACACGGTTTGATAACCAAGTCTATGAAATTTATTGATAGAGAAATTCATGTAAACGTTTTATTTAAAAAATGTGTTTTTTGAAATTGTTTTTCATTAAAAAAACAAAAGCTCTAGGCCCCTCCTGGGCTCAACCCCAGGCCCCCCCAGGCCCACCTCAGGGTAAATTGCTAGTTACGCTAATGATAATTTCGCTTTCATCATCATAGTTATCGGAAAATGTAATGCTTTAACAAAACAAAAAAATATGACGTTAATCAAAATCTACATATATAAAATGCTAATGTTTATCTGTGTCGTCTCTACTGAAGTAACGACTTGCTCTAGAAAGTTGCTTTTTTTACTAAAAGATAAGTAATTGGCTCTTCTAAAAACTGTCGTCGCCGGATTTTTTGTTTTTCATTTAATTAAAAAAAATAAAAAGTTTTTTTTCTGATGTCGCGTCGTGGCGGAGGACAGAAAAAATTCAACCATATTTTCATAATTTTATTTTTATAATTTTCTCTAAAACAGTATGAAAATTTGGAAAAGTATAAACGGGATTAACCATCTTAGAATAAGGAAACATTTTTACGAAGAACGCATTTTTTTTCAAAGTTCCAATATTAAAAAAGATTTTCCTCTTGTGACAGTCGTGGACCTCGCCGTGGACATACTGTATAGACTTTTCCTGTGTGGGCTATGCCTAAGATTTTTCTAGTTTATAATAGTTTAATATTTAATATATTTATTATAAGTTAAAAAAAGAATAAAAAAAAATAATAAGGTCCCTATTTTAAAAAATATAGTTGATGATAGTGGCTAAGAAATAAAACGTCAGATTGGAAAACTCGTAGTGCGTATTATATTTTTTCATGTACTTAAAAAAATTGACCCACATTTTGATTTTTATACATATTTTATTCCACAGCTACCAACGAATTTTTTTTCTATGTTCTCTATAGTAGATACATAACTTATTTTCCACAGAGCTTTTATAAACAAACAAGTTCATACTAGTAAATGACTAAGCAGTAATAAATATGTCATTACAGCTATACCCTGCCATTCTCCGGCCCTTAAAGGGCAGTAAATTAGGAAAGGTCGGTAGCAAGATCGCCAAATAAACAACTTAACAATGGGGTACTCAATTTTGATGACAATGGAGTTGTTTTGATCGGTTCGAAATATGTTTTTATTTTCATTTCAAAATTCTGGTCATCTGTATAAACAGAAAAATCTATTTTAGTATTCCTTTGGTAATAAAGACTAATGACGGACTATAGGTAGAAACGTCATTCTTATTAGAATTGTTTGTTAATCGTTGAAGTGTAGAATATGTAAATTATCCTAAAATCTATTTTATGATAACCAAAATAGCAAGTAAATTTAATAAAAATATTATTCCATATTATACAAAAAATAACCTTGTATATTTTTGGCGCACCTCATTCGCCTCGGTTGATTATACGATGAAAATGGAAAGATGTAAAAACAAAATATTTTATGGGTATATGTGGGAAGGCAATGTGCATTATTTATAATTATTTTCATATGTCTTTATAATTATTTTATATGGTGTGTTGCAGAACTAAGATCCATACCAAAGTTAT